AGACCTGGCTACGCGATAATGACAACCATGTGTTGCCGCTTATTCACATGGTTTGTTGTTTGTTACAGATATTAGGGCCGAATACACGGTATAAGACGGCGTATGAACGGACGCCCTGCGATAGCATAAACAGGAAGTCTACTCACAGATCACATCTCCCCTTGCGCGACCTGCAATGCAGACAGGCGCGATACGTCCGCTTCTCGCGTTCTGAAGGCCTTTCTCGTCGCACAGGCGCTTCCTGCCGAGCCGCAAGAGGATCCGTCGCGCTGAACGGTCGTCTTGGTAAGTTGTTAATACGGGATTCGCCTCCGGCCGGTGGTGCCGCCATAACTCCACTACCAGACAGATCTCATTGGCGGTCTGCAAGCGCTGCTACACGGATTTGCGCTGTAGAGTTCAAAGGCCCAGAACTATGCTATGGAACCGACACGACTGGGTGCGACGAGACCCTTTGGGGATAAACGGCGGTTTTGTTCGGCCCCGCTTTCTTCCTTCCCGTCCCCCGTGCCCCGTGGAGGACGCCTGCACAATGGCGTAAGCGATGAGGCTTGGCAGCCAACCTTGGTTTCCTCTTCTCTCCTTCTGCCCCTCGCTTCTACATCACTCAGAAATAGCATCGCGGAGCAGACTCTGGTGATTTGGGAAGCAAGAGGGCGGTCAGGAGACCTTCGCGTTGTGACAGGGGACGGCCAGGCCGACATGCATCATTTGAGAAGAACTGGTATCAAGGCCCTAGGTGGGCCGCCGGCAGGAGTGTCAGCAGAGCCCGAGGGGATTGTCGTGGTTGGATCGGCAAAGCAGCAAGCTCAGGAACAATCTGCTTTGTGGAGATGGCTTAACTAGCAGTTCTTCACGTAGTAGTCCGGTTAGACGAGCTTGTATTCCTTGGCCACTGCCAAAGTAGTACGCTTATGAATCCAACAAACAGATTCCAAGAACACCAACCCTTGCTCGACGCCTGCAACCGCTAAACCATGGGCAGTAAGTTACCATATTAAATCCTCTTCGTTTGTTACACACCCTTGTACCCCAGTGACCTTTACACAATACCATAAAGCTTCTTCGCGATGAGATAACTGAGAAGTCCGAATCCGAACAAACCACCCGTGAGGCACCAGAACCAGGTCAAGCTATCGCCGTCCTGGCCAGGGACAAGGACGCTGTTTCACGTTAGCGTTCCCGACACTACATACACCGAGGGCGTACTTGTACTTACTTCATTCCCCACAATCCCGTAACGATGTTCATAGGCAGAACGATGGTACCCAGAACAGTGAGCTTGCCGAGGACATCGTTGGTCTGCTCAGCACGCTCGTTCATGCGAATGTTAATCTGCGCCAGGTAGTTGCCGTGAGCGCGAGAGAGGAGGCTTTCGGTCAATCGTCAGCGAATGTTTCGTTTTTCCCAGCCCCGCCGTGACTTACTTCTCGTAGTGAGACAAGTTGCCCGTCATTGTCACGATATGATCCTGGATATCGCCCAGATACAGACCAATCTCGCTCCTGGGCGCCACCTCCCAGTGCTCATTGCACCTCTTGGCAAAGCCCTTGATGACATCTGCCTTGTTGCCGAGCAGGCGGTAAAGGCTCATAACCTTCTTGCGGCACTCGCCAACGCGACGCAGCATGTCTCCGCCACTGTCTCCGGTCATCAGCTCGCCCTTCTCGGACCGATTGTCGCTGGCGTTCTTGTTCTGCTTTTCGTATTCGAGCTCCTTGGCCTTGCCGGACTTCTTGGGCTTTTCGTCTTCGTTTTCGTCGTAGGAGTGCATGTCCAGAATGACTTCGTCGATCTCGTCGACTTCATCCTCGATCTGGGAGACTAGTGGTGCATAAACGTCTGTAATATCGTCGATGATGGCGTACGAGATCCAGTCCGAAGTGGGAGACATGTAATCATTGAGCTGGCGGATACGACGGCGAACATTGGCTGGATGAGGCGTCATGGAAAAGTGGAACTAGAAAGTGTGTCAGCACACCCGCCAATTGAACGTAACACGGAACAAGCACTCGGTGGACTTACACTGATCACTGCTTCCCTGAACACCACAAAATACATATTGACGGGCTCCAAGTAGTCATCGCTGTCCTTGTCCTGCTCGAAACTCCGGTAGTTGACAAAGTAGTAATTCTGGAAAAGCTCGACCTTCTCGCGTTGCTCCTGCATCATGATGTCCTCGGTGGTAAGTTGATGAATGCCAAACGCCTTGGAAAGGACCTTCATCTCTGTTTCTGTAGGACTTAGCACGTCGAGCCAGAACACTGGCCTCGGCCCATAACGCTTTTGCTTTGCCCGTGGTGTGTGTGACTGGGCGGGCGTCCTTGAACCGGAGGTCTCGTCTGGCTTCCCCTCACTCATCACCGAACCTTCCCTGGACTCCCTTCCTCGGGTCTGTTCCGGAACCGGTGGTGCTATTGTCGGAACTGCTGATCCGTTCTGCTCATCTTCATCATCGCTGCTATCGCTCAACTCCGGCTGTTCGGGTTTGAAGAGGTCCTGGAAAGTAGCTCCAAATTGGCATAGCTCACTGATCGTCCTGCTGTGAATCGTACCATCGAAAGTCTCGTTGAAGTACGTGTATCTGTACGGCGCGTCGTCCTCCTCTCTGTGCCAAATGGTCTTCGTAGGTCGCAACCTGCCGCCGACCAACATCGGCTCACTGATCTTCTTCGCGCGGATCTGCTCCTGGTTACGCTCCTCTTTCTCCTCGCGGCTCCATTCATCCAAAATATCCAAGTCCGGCCACTGGCGATGCCTTCGCCTACGAGGACTCCGTCTGCTGCTACTGCGCTGCTGTTCCGCCACTTCGTCCTCTCCAATCTCGGACAGTTCTCCAGGATAACAGACATCCTTCTCGGCCAAATCCTGAAACGTACGCCTATAGTCATCCCCACGGGGTGTTGTTGGAGAAGGGCCTGCAAACCGGTCTTCGTTATCGTCCTTGTCGATGTCTATGACCGCGTCACGGCTATCGCGTGGCGACCTGGTGTATTCTTCGGCAATCATGACATCATCCAGCGTGCCCATCTTAGGAGATCCAGGAACCGAAGGAGGGTTGTTGACATCGTAGTCTTCGTCATCCGACTTCTTACTCCTTCTGCTTCTGCTGGACACAGGAGAAATGCCCTTCGAGTTTCTGCGGGGGTCCTGTGCTCATGACTACCATAACCGAAACCAGATCCGTGTCTTGAGAAGCCAGGCCTGTCACGGTGAGAGCTTGCAATGAGTGGCGTACGCTCGTTGCCCTCATCTTCGTCTTCGCTGATCATTTCGCGCGGGTTAGGACGTCGAGTCTTGTTAGGACTCGAAGGCTGGAACGAAGCGCGGTAGGGCGTCGGACGTGACTTAAACATGCTCTGCGAATTGCTCTGCCTCCGAGGGCGGAGGCCGGTAGGCTGGTCTCTGCAGGGTTATCGTCAGTACACGCAGCTTTGAAGGTCGCTCCAAATAACAACATGACCTACCTATGATCGAGCAATGCCTCGCTTTCCAGACTGGTGCTGCTGCGTCCGCCGTTCTTCAGCCTGTAGAAGCTAGTGTTCGCAGAAGGTCTTGGTGCATCCAGCAGACTCGGCCTCTGTTCCACTTCGCTCTCAGCTACGCTCTCGTCTGGGGCAATGAAACTCTGTCTGCGGTTCCTCCTTTTCTTGCCGCCCCGGTGTCTCTTTTTCTTTTGACCTCCTCCGGTGCTAGGTTGGGAGTTGCTGGACATGTTCGGATCGCGAGAAGAGGACGCGGCGTTGGATCCATTACTGCGTGAAGGTGCAGCCATGTCGTCGGAGCCTCTGATCTTGTCGAGCGCGCTCTTCTGGTCCATGGCCGTGTAGCGGATGCAAAGGCAATCAGGTATTGAGCGGTCGTGGAGCAGAATAATGCGAACCGGATGTGTTAGGAGATACGAGAGTGAGTTTTCAGCGCGATGGAGTTCGCCGACGAGCTGGACTTGAATGGTTCACCAATGACGCAGGACGGCTGGAGAACCTCCGCAATCCGGCAAACTTTGTTGGGCAATGGACGAGAGGCAAGAACGGATCGATAACTGCAACACCTTTACACGATCATATCGGAAGAACCGCCCTCAACATGAGTTATCGCATACTGCTGAGCACGTGGAAATAGTGCAAGAGATGTCGACAGTAGTTTTTGTGGATCTTGTGCGCGACGAGGGCGTACCTGCACAAGAGGACACCACCTCCTGCTCGCGTGCTCGCTTGCCTGCTTGGGGCGCGCTATTTCGGAGCATGCATAGCCGTTGCGAACGGACGGACAGCCTGATTCAGTATGCAAGTAACCAATAATCGTCCTGCGTCACTGGTCGTGTCTGGGTCTTGATCATGGACAAGGCACGCCATGAAGACACAGCTAGTTACACCAGTTTCGCACCGGGTTTCAGTTCCGTTCATAGCGAAGCTTTCGAGAGCAAGCGGCATAACCCTCTGAGAGTCCTCAACACGGCAACCGGTTCTCCGCTCCTCCAACCTGTACATCGACTCAACACCACCTACTGGCATGTAGATGCGTTGCTTGCTTCATGTTTGTCTCCTCATGCGGCAAAGACCAGCTTTGTTGAGACCAAGACCATGGACCGGCATCCCACCTTGCAGAGCCACAATCGGTTCCACCATGCCAGCTGAGGTGCAAAGGGCACAGGCAGCCAGTCCTTGTCACCAACGTGCTCTCCAACTCACTCGGAGAGCCATGACCGTAATCCATGCGTTGCTTGCATAGTGCAGCGTACCACGCAAGCGTTGTTCACGTTGTAAAGCGGACAATGCCACCAACACTAGGCGAGCAATTCACTGGTTGATCAACTCCTGAAACATCATGGGCTTGTCGTCTAAACGAATTTGCGACTTGCGGCTCTCGGCGACCCTTGACGGGATTGAGTGCTGAGTAGGCGTGCTCGATGCCAAAACGGGAGGCACGCCTTGCTGGGTCGCTCCTTCCCATTTTGGCCAAATTGTCATATAATCTCTAGAAACTAATATCAATAACAAGGGCTTGTGGTCTAGCGGTATGACATCTTCTTAGCATTCGGGCGTCTCTCGAGACCTGGGTTCTGAGATGGAGAAGGTTCCGCGTTCGACTCGCGGCTAGTCCATCATATTTTGCTTTTGCTCCACAATCGTGACAATGGTGTAGAGACCAATGCAGCGGTCAAGCTTTGCTCTCATCCTGACAAAGTTTTGAAAGGCTTTAACATGAATTGCTTGGCGTAAGAAGGCAGTCCCTGACAACTGTGCTCCTATTGGTTCACAGGTTCAGCGTTGCATCTTTGGAGATTGCTTTCTCGCCGCTACTTTCCATCTTGGCCATTGTATGAGAAATGTGACGGGAGCCTTGCATATGGAACTCGAACGCACGCCCCGAACCTAAAGATTGTACACAAACCCAAGCGCCCTGTCCCCTCCAACCCGTTCTCCACCACCCCTGCCTCCTCAACACCTCCTTCACCTCCTCCCTCCTCCTCAACACCCAGCAAATAGCCAGCACGCCGCACAACGCCAACGTCTCCATGCCCGCACTGACGGCGTTCCCCATCAAATATCTGGGGCTGTCCGTACTGGGGTAGATATTACTCGACACGACGCCCGAGACATTGGCGAGGGAGACGAAAAACGGCACGCCGACGCTGCGTTTGTAATCCGGCGCCAGGTTGTTCGAGACCCAGGTCAGGATGGTGCAGTTGTAGGCGTAGATGCCGGAGCCGCAGAGGAACATGGCGAAGTAGCCGGCGGCGTGGGAGGCGGTGCTGCAGACGATTACGTAGCCGATGATGACGGGGATGGGAGCGATCACGAGGACGACGGCGCGCTTCTTGAGTCGGTCGGAGGCGGCGGTTGCGATGAAGAGGGTTACCGTGGCGAAGAGGTAGACGGGGATGGTGAGATAGTTGGCTTGGAGTGACGTGTATCTGCGAGCGGCGGATGTTAGTAGATGTCGTTGGCGACAGAGTGGAATGGGTCGCTCACCCAAGACCCTTGATGATTGTGGGCAAGAATGTGCCGAAGCCGAACAGCGCAATCGACGAGCAGAAGAACGCGAGCGCCGACACGTAGACGCAGGCATCCGTAAAAGCCATGCGTGCGTACTTCCAGTCAAAGTGCTCATCGCCCCTGTTGACAACGTCGCGCTGTTTCCTGGCTCGCATGAGTGCCTTTTCTTCAGCGTTGAGAAACCACGCGTGCTCTGCGGTGCTGGGCAGCAAACACCAGCAGATGCCACAGAGTACGATGGAGAAGGCGCCCTCGACGATGAACAACCATCTCCAGGCTTCAAGGCCGCGTCTGGTGCCCATGGTTTCGATCCCATAAGCAATCAGTCCGCCGAAAGCACCGGAGAGACAGTTGCAGCCGTAGATGATGGCGTTGCGCTTGGCTTGGTCTTCGCGCGACCAGATGGTAGAGATGACGAAGACGACGCTGGGCACTAGACCGGCCTCGAAGGTGCCGAGTAGGATGCGCACGGCGATGGCCTGTGAATAGTTCTGGACGAAGCCTGTGCTAAGGGTGATGACGCTCCAGGCGATCATGGCGACGCCTAGGACGTGTTTGGCACCGAATCGCTTGACGGCCATGGTCCAAGGGGTCTCGAGTAAGACATACGTGGGGTAGAAGAGGGTAGAGACGGTGTTGAACTGGTTGCCTTTTAGTCCAATGCCGTCTTCAAATCCGAAAACCTTTGCGTTTCCTGCGTTGCTAAGGTTAATGAAAAGGAACACTGGTGATCTGCGTTCGAACACACACCCAGATTCGACCGGTCCAGGTACGCGATAAGAAGGATAACGGCAAGCGGAGGCAGCAAGTACTTGTCGAATTTCCGGAGGGTAAGTCGTTCCTGTTCGGCGTCGATGTAGATGACCTCCTGTACTTCTCCCTTGGCCAATTTTCTGGTCGTTCCATCAGAAGGCGAACAGGTCTCGACGGCCTTCGGGTTCAACTCGGCCATGGTGTAAGTGAGCAGCTACTACCTCTTTCCAGTCGTGGTTGCTGACTCAGAGGAACACGATAGGAGAACATGGAACAAAGAGCGCCTACCTAGTTATATACCTACGTGTGCGGTTCCGTTCATGTGTAAGGATTGCTATCATACGTTGAGAATGGGGCGCCGGAGCAGGATGGAAAACCGGATCCGCTACGACAAGGCGGCACTTGGCAACGTGGACAAAGTGTTGTTGTGTGGACCGACTGTCTTCTTGCGGTATCTGGAGACCCACGGTGGCGACAGCGTGCTGTGGTCAGAGGTCCTATCTGGTTGTTGCTGTTGCTGTTGCTATTGCTGTTTGCTTGGCGGGCCAGGATGGTTATCGCACTCCATAGCCAACGTTGGCCGAATGCTGATAAGGCTGACCCACTGAGGAACATGGCGAGTACCTGCCTAATGCGTGACTATGATGTTGGCCACTGTCCCCTCGCGGCCAGCAAGGTGGGCAGTCCGACACCCTGAGCACTATCGCAGCATACAGTAGCTCTTTACAATACCCGGTCTGGCAGGGGATGCTCTTGTCGATCCCTATCCCGGCGTGAGGAGTCCATGGGAGAGGGAAGAGGGTATTGTAGTTTTCCTTTGTGCCCTCATACCGTAAACCAAACCGGCTTTGGCAATCTCTGTCTTCCGGCACGCGATAGAAAAGACACCCCAAAATGGATAAGCCCATCCGTTGCTTGTGTAATCACTGAGGCTGATGTTGTACTGTGCATGTTCACATGGTAAAGTGTTTCATACACTCTGTCCTGCACCCTGCAGGAACATGTGCGGACTTCGGCAAAGCAGAGCCGCATTCAGGACAGCTGTGAAGTTCGCCGTGTCAGGGAAGTCAATTAGGTACACAACGCCTTACCTTTTCCAAACTACGGTACGGTCCTTTGCATATACCTTCCTTTCTCAACCCGTCCTGTTCTTTTCTGAAAGAACCTTGCCGTCAGAGACAGCATGATATAATCCGGGAAACGAATCGCAACCCAACATCTCCGCGATCAACTCCAAGATCTGGGATTTCTCAGAGCCTCGCATATAGTCGCATCCTCAGATAAAGTCGGCAACATGCTCTGGTTACACACATTGGCACTGCTGTGCCTCCTGCCTTTGTTGGCCCTCTGCGCCGAGGACTATTACAAGGTCTGCACAATCAAATCCTCTCAAAACACTGAGATCTCGCTCCTGACTCGACGACACAGCTCCTCGGGGTCGATAAGAGTGCCTCTGATAAAGAGCTCAAGAAGGCCTACCGGAACCTCAGCAAAAGTACCACCCGGACAAGAACCCGTACGTCCTCCCTCTCCCGTCCCCTCCTCACCTCTCCTCTGCCCATGCTATGCATCCACTTTCGCCTTCCCACCAGCCCTCAGACTACAACACTCTTCGGAGACCAACTAATCCTTTCTCAGCGGCGACGAAACCGCGCACCAAAAGTTCGTCGAAGTAGCCGAAGCCTACGAAGCCCTCATCGAGCCGTCCACGCGCAAAATCTACGACCAATACGGCCACGAAGGCCTGCAACAACACAAACAAGGCGGCGGACGCCCCCAACACGACCCCTTCGACCTCTTCTCCCGCTTCTTCGGCGGCGGCGGCCACTTCGGACAGCCCGGCGTCCGACGGGGTCCCAACATGCAAGTGAACGTTCACATGCCCTTGCGGGACTTCTACACGGGCGCGGAGCACGAGATCACCATCGAGAAGCAGGCGATATGCTCCGCGTGCGAGGGGTCCGGCAGCGAAGACGGCCATCGGGAGCGGTGCGGACGGTGCAACGGGCAAGGGATGATCATCCAGAAGGCGCAGCTGGCGCCGGGCATCTTCCAGCAGATGCAGATGGCGTGCGACGTGTGCGGCGGACAGGGCACCACGATAAAACACAAGTGCAAGGTGTGCGACGGCAAGCGCGTCGTGCGCGAGGAAGAATCCCACACGCTGGTCATCGAGAAGGGCGTGCCCAAGGGCGCGCGGATACAGTTCGAGAACGAGGGCGACGAGAGCCCGGACTACGTGGCCGGAGACCTGTTCGTCACGCTCTCGGAGAAGGAGCCGGAGTTGGGCAGCGGGAAGGAGAAGAACGATCGCACGGACGGCACCTTCTTCAGACGCAAAGGCACGGATCTTTACTGGCGCGAAGTGCTCAGTCTGCGCGAGGCGTGGATGGGCGATTGGACGCGCAACCTGACGCACTTGGACGGTCACGTGGTCCAGCTCTCGCGCAAGCGCGGCCAGGTCGTGCAACCGGGAACCGTCGAGACGGTAGCGGGCGAGGGCATGCCCGTCTGGCGCCACGAGTCCGGGCCCGAATTCGGCAGCCTCTTCGTCGACTACGTCGTCGTGCTACCGGATCAGATGGACAAGGGCATGGAGAAGGAGTTCTGGGACACGTGGGAGAAGTGGAGGAGGAAGAAGGGCGTCGATCTCGCAAAGGATAGCGGGAGACCCGCCGCCCGTGATGAATTGTGATAGATATACCCAACCCAATGACACCAGACTACACGAAGATGCCTGTTTTCCCCCTCGTTCCGGCCCTCACAATGCCCGGACCTGCTTCAATTCTGGAGGTGCCATCTAGTACAACAGGGGTGGGGGAAGCACTACCCTAGGCCTGCTAAGCTGTAAACTTACACTATGGTATCGGAGTATGCAATTGTTGCTGCCGCCGCCTTACAACACGCAAATATCCGGTCAAAGAACCCCGTCGCTCGAGAACGTGAGTTTGCCAACACCGTAGACGTGCCCGTTTTGGGCATGGGGAAATGAGTCGGGGATCAATTTTTTTTGTTTTCGTCCACCCTGAGAAACACGTTTTTCTCTCGGAAACATCATTACACTTCTAACAGAAACTAAGGAAAACGACAACTCCTGGGGGTGGGGGGGGAGAAAGAGAACAACCGCTTCTTAGAATTTGTCTTTGCATCATAGCAAAACAAGACGACCGACATCTAATCAACGTCCACGTCCAACACACATCGCTTAAATGAAGGAGAAACCCCTTCCCCCCGTCCCGCAGGCGACAAGCCTCCGGGCGGGAACAAAGAAGAAAAGGCCGCGGCGGCTCAGTAAAGATGGAACCCGCTCAATCCTCGTACACGTACTCGATATGGCAGACGCCCTCACCCG